GCCTGTATTCGTGTTTACAGAGCTGTTGCCTGGCAACGCGTTGATCACATCCGTTACAGTATTGTGATTGAATAGTCCGTTCCTAGACAACGGCTCGCTAAAAGCGCAAATATCCGCGGCAACGAATACGTTTGTAGAAATCGAAGCGTAGTAATGGATGAAACAGATAATAACAGAATAACAGTTTGAGGTGGTGGTCTCTCTTTGGTTCGCCCCGAGTTATAAAAGAGAGTTCATTCGTGAATTCATTCATTCATTCGTAAGAGAGCTCAGAGTTCAGTAGTTGAGTGTCAACCATCTAATATTCGTTACCAGGAAACATCTAGTGAGAACTTTGCTGAAGAATAGCCGTTGTTGAGACCTGTTACCCAGCAACGACTAGTGAAAGCAGATATAGAAGACTTTATTTTGTGTGATGTGGTTACGGTACTCTTTAGAGTATGTAAACTAGTGAGACTGTTATAATTACTTGTAGTTACGGCCTGTAGGTGTTCAATAAATCTACTCACCAATCCCAACTCTGTATATACGGACCCATATTATCATTCGACGTTACAACACTGAAGAAACTGAAATGTGTCGTTGAAAAACCAAGAATAGGCATTATCTAATATGTGAACGTGTAGCTGGTTACTGTAGGTGAATCACTGAATTGCTACAGAGAGAATGAAATGGCGGGAAAGACAGTGCAGCCAAGTTACTCTCGCGCGAACATGAGCGGCAAGTCTGTGGTGTGACTCGGATGAACCGTTCGGACGAAGTGGCGTAACTGTAGGTTCGAAAAGGGATTCGGTCGAAAGAAAGACTACTAGCGTATTATTCTTTACTGAACATATTGTTCTGATTTCCTCTTCGTTGCCACAAAACACTACTACAACATTCTCAAATTCTAAGATTCTGTTTTGTTTGAGAATCGAGCGGTGGGTATGAGTGACCTGACAATAAAGTTCGCGAACACATCGCTGTATATCACTGTGGTCGCCTTCAAAATACTACTCTTAGGAAGCTATGCGCCAATGCCAGTGCCTAGTCCACCTTCAAAACAGTTTTGGAACTAGTTTTGTGGAATAGCCTTCAGAGCTGCCGTCGTATTACTCCTGATGTAATCAGTGTCATCAAAATGCCTTCCTTTCAATATTTCCTTTATCTTCGGGAACAGAAAAAAGTCATTTGGGCTAGATCCAGTGGACAGGAAGGATATTTCAGCACAGGTATTTGTTTACTAGCTAAAATCTCCCTCACAGACAGTGCCGTGTGAGCAGGTGCATCGTCGTGATGCAAGACACCAGAACATACTCAGACAATAATATAAGCCACTCAGAAAGAGACTACCATAGATCAACAACAACACAGCTGTTAAACGCTGGTATGCCAACGTCATCAAACCGTACTGCTGCCACGGCAAGCACACGGTGACGAGTTCGCGAACTTTATCAGACCTCATATTCGCAGTTTTAATGGGCAAGTTGTTTGACAATGGTCTCGATTCTCGACGAAGAACGAATAATTAAGAACTAGTGACATTCACAGCCGTTCTTCTACACTACAAGAACAGTCATTACTGTGAAACGTCGTCCTTTTTAATTACATATATTACTGATAGTATCAGCTGATCATATATCCTGGGTTCAAAATCAGGGTTTCAGCACCTAGGATTTAAAAATCTTCATGTTTTATGTTGCGTTATATTGCCACCGTTTCTCTCTAATGAGGTTTAAAATCCCTCTCACCATCAGATAAAACAAAAATTCGTCTTTGCTCTTTATATTTTAAAACATACGCATGCATATATATATTTGTATGATCAAACCGAAGAGGTAAGATGCATAGGGATGCAGTGCACATGGGAGAGGCGAAAAGGACATAAGTCCTACGCAGTTTTATTCAATACCCTTGAAGAGAAATGACCGCTTTTGAAATTTACACCTAGGAGGGAGGTTAATATTGTGACACAATAATCCACTACTGGACAACGGCTCGCTAAAACACATTTCCGTGACGAGTGTGCCATTACGCCTGGAAGTCGGAATAAACAATTTATAGGCAACGTTTCGGTAATCACCGTCTGAAACTCAGAATAACAGCAAAGAAACGGAAGTCCGTTTGCTAGGCAACGGCTCACTGAAACGCAGTCTCATGTAAACGAAGATTCAACAAAGGTTTCCGTGGATACAAGGAATCTTGGGATCACAAGGCGTCACACTGGACGGTGTTGTTAAATTATATTATAATAATTAACTAGTGTGATGGACCAGAGTGAATAAAGTTAAATTTGTGCGTGATCATTAGTGTAAATTGCTCAGGAAAAGACATTGAAACTGGTTTTTGTCGATAACTGAATCTGTCCACATTTCGCGACTAAAATACCCTTCTTTCTGTCATAACCAGAAGAGAAAGTTTCTTTTCTTTCGTCGACTGTCTGAGAAAGTTATCATGCCGATATAAATGTGAGTTGATTCCAACTGTAGCGTCGTCGCACGGGACGTCTTGTCACGTGATCTGACGTCTGTAATGAACAGTAATGAAATCTATCTAAAACGCGACTTGTCGAGGCGCCATTTTCCCTGTGTACTTTGTCTTCTCTCACGATGGAGTGGCTGCAAGTGTAAAATTACAGAACCTTTTACAGTGCTTAATGTCGAGTCATCTGATAGTGGCTGTTGAGCATGCCACGAAACTAAAATGAAGAAATATCTTAATTTTATTGCATATTGCACCTAATTTGAAAATATTCAAAAGGGAATTCTGGGAACATCAATAAAAAATAGAAGATTCTTTTCGAAACTAGTAGAAGAATAAATTATATATCTGTTTTTTTAGCCTCATTTCCTTATTTAAAAAAAAAGGCCTATGGGATCGGCTCTCTCTCTCTGGATCTGTATGTGTATCCCCTACTAACACATTTCGAAGGCCTATACCGATCACCAAGAGACTTGGTAGGTATTGTTGCGTGCATAACAACCTTAATATTACTTGAACGTATGAACATGAACGTATCATCATGAAGTCTGGTATATATCCGACTTCGGAGTTTTGTGCCTTCTAAGTGCAACGTCGTTTACTATTCTTTCTTCGTATTCCTTTATTTGACACATGTTTCGGCCTAACTGGCCATCTTCAGGTGTACATGTTATGATTAAGGATTCTGCTGCTCACTGTAATGTGGTTTTCTTTCCTCCTGTTGTAGTTATCTCTGGTTATTTTGTTATATGGGTAACCATCACTTTTATTTGGGTATCCTTGTGTTGCACGTGGTTGCTTTTGATTTGTTTGGTTTGTTGGTTGTGGCTACCTTGAATTTTCTTGCTGGAGCTGGAGTTCTGTAGTTGTTGGTCTGCCGTCATAGACTCGTAGCGGACGACTATGATGACTGACACACACACAGCTTATTCACAACAAATGCTAATATGAAGGAGGACGTCACCTGGATATTCAGGAATTTGGTATTATGGATTCCCCTATTAGCCGTACACCGAACCTAGTAGTTGAGTGATTATAAATTCTGCTTCGTGTTCAGGGGTTTACGAGGTCAGTTCACAGTCCTGAGATCGATATTCAGGTTGAAATATGAGACAGGATGTCCAGAAAAAAATGTTGTCCCGTATCCTGGTAACGCGTCAAGAAGTTAATGGCTTCCAGATTGGATGAAGCGGTTTACTGCGTAAGTTGATTAGAATTACAATTATAATTACTCAAAAATAAAGTCTTTCACACAATGCAACCTAACTAATCTGTCTTCTGGTTCTTAGCCGGGTCTTCTCTCCAGCATCTTATCGCCTGGTGTAATCAGTCTTCTTGGTCTCAGCTCCCAGTCCTGCTGGTTTCCTCTCTCCTCTGTTCGCGTCCTTTCGCCGCTATTACTCGCTCGTAAATCGTAACTCAGAAATTCTGCTCTGAACTTGTTCTGTCACTCGTAACGGCCATGAACTAATTCTGTCTTGAACAGAACTGAGAGTTCACGGCTGTCACTATATAAACGCGGCATGGACCACATAGAAAACACTCTCTGTTGTTTTAGAGGCGTGTTTACCTCGTCGTTGCATAGCAACGATTGCGGCGCGGATCACATAGAAACCACACTCCTCCGTTGTCAGCAGTATTGTGTCACCTACCAACTATTTGTAGCATAGTCCACAGCGAACACAGTTTCCATTGTTGCGTATCCACGAGAACGTGTTTATCGAGCCGTTGCCTGGAAACGCTTTGGGGGTCCATGTTGCAATATACTCCTGTCTTCTCAGTTTCTTCAAAATAACTGCGGGGCAGTGTCTTAAAATACACCAAGACTTATTCCTTTCACATAATTTCCATGTCTTTATTCACAGTTATCCTACCATTCACTATTATATCGTTTAGTGTTAGTGACTAGACACGGGATTTGGATTCATTTTATGAATGCCTACTATGCGTAACTACAATTAATTACATCACTCACTAATGTGCTCACTCTATAAATAATTAAAGCCCAGTCAAAATCTTCTCTTCTGCTATGCCTTCACTTGTTGTTGCTTGGTAGCGGCTCCTAACGGTGTATACCTCTCTGCTTTGGTGTGAAATGGCTCATGACTAACTACCGACTACATTTAATACACATTCTCCTGCTGCCCTGAGCAGAGCACAGTAGAGCAGACCAGGCCAGGGCAGAACAGTAATTTGCTGCTGGCCTTCGCCAGCACAATCATTTTTTGTTTCTGACCCCATGGTATCCATGATCATATTATTTTTATCATGACATAAGGAGCCAAAGCACAATGGCAGAACAAATGGACAAAGATTAATTATAACAAAATGTAAGCAGTTTCTCAAGTAACACCACTTATATGATAATCCGATAAATATATATTATTCAAAGTCTTCAATAATATACTACAGTTTTCTGAAGTCATATAAATAATATATGGACACAATTAATGGGAAAACCTATTCCTTAATTTATAATACAAAGTGTTTCAAAATTTCTATTTGTCGCTTATAAATTTAATCATGTGACTGCTCTTATATTAGTGGGTGGAGTTATCGCTTGATGCCTCTTGTATTCTGGATGCTTGGGAATATGCCTTTGCATTTGGCAGGCCTGCCAACACGCATGCACTTAATCCATCCCGTTTCATGTTCATGGATGATGCCTTATGCCACTCATCAGAATCCACGTCATAATATTCCACAACTGCAATTGGCTGCAAATACTTGGCTCCTCCAGCGACAAAAATCATACCTTCCAAGACAACAGCCGCAAAATTATTGCGTCGATGGTGCATTTCAGAAATCTGTTGCCACTCTGAGGAACGCGTAGGATTATATCTCTCCCCTGATTTCAATATGGTATCCCCGTTATATCCTCCAAGAGCATACAGATAATTATTGTATGCCACAAGACTTAGTCCTGACCGGACAGTGGCCATAGAGTGAATAAATGTCCATTCGTTCGTTTGGGGATCAAACACTTCAGCAGACCTCAGCCCTTCATGTTCATTTAATCCACCCACAACGTAGATTTTGCCATTAAGACTAGCAGCGCTGGCTTCAGATCGTACACAATGCATTGATGGAATCATTTCCCACTGATTGAGATTTGGGCTGTACCTCTCAGCAGAATTCATTCCGATTCTTCCATTGTAACCTCCCAATGCATATATTTTACCATCTTGACTGCAAACGCTGACCCCGCCTCGGGGGCGGTGCATGCAGGCACAGTATTTCCACTTCTGAGTTATCGGGTTGTAGCAACATACTGTGTTCAAATATTCTCTGTCATCGTAACCACCAATGACGTAAATGAGGTTATTCAAGGCACACAAACCGTGGGTTTGTCGAGGTTCGATGACATCAGTTTTCGTATGTATGAACCATTTATCTGCCCTTATATCATAGGTTTCAATAAATCGTGTGTCTCTCTTGCAATTCCAGCCACCACAAGCAAAGATGATTTCATACGGAATACGAGGCCGAGAAATGGCATTATTCAGGACACGATTACATGATTGTCCAGAGTTCAGCTCGGCAAGGACAGATGAGGAGTATAGGCTGCTCTGCAACTCTGGATCTGCGAGAATTAGTTTATTCCTTATCACGTGCCTAAAGAAGTTCATATTCGTCAGTCCATATCGCACGCAGTGGATTAAAGTTCGGAGGTACTGTTTTCGAACCTGTAGGTCAGCTTCTATCCATTTCATAACTGCCTCGAACACAAGCTCTTCTCTGTGCACATTCAGTTCGTCATGGCGTAATATACATTCTAGTTCTTCTGCTGACAAGTCTTTGAACTCCGGACTTTGTATGAATATTTGTTTAAAGTTATGACATATATATTTGAGTCCTCGGTCTTCCAAGTGACAACAAAAATAACGCCTTGCAAACTTAAAAATCCCAATACAATTTTCAGGCTTAAGTTTTTCAAACAGATATTGGGAACTTTGATGCAAAACGCCAAGAATTTCATATTGATAAGCTATAGGCAATAGATGTTCAACATTTTCTAAAGTCACGTTACAGTGACCCGTGTAAGCATAATCCAAAATGAGGTCAAGTATATGGCCCGGAATATCCAGGTTCACTTCATTCATTTCAGTTTCGCCTCCCTTCAGACTGTTAGTAAACAAATCTTTAAAATATGAACTTACAAGAGATACAATTACTCTGTGTATGTATACTGTTTTCCCATCACTACTGCGAAGGATACCATCGCAAAACTGTTGATTCATGCGAAATTCGTTCCATGCTTTCGGAAATTCTACTAATTTGGAGTTATTTATATTACAGGTACATTTTGTTACATTTAAAGTTGGTATCTCTTTGTGCTGTGTCGCGTTGTTGGTAGAAAGTAATGCGCAAGTTGCTGCAGATTGCATCGCTTCCCTCGTGGTGATGTCCAATCGCCAAGCTATTCTGTCACTCACTTGTTCCCACGTAACTACTATTAATTAAAGCACTTCCACTGTTCTGTACCACTCCAGAGTCTCCTGGCACTGCTATGTCACGTCTAATTCTTTCTCGGAAGTTGCTTGTAACAATTGATGTTCCTCTACTTATGTGGTCAACAGCCGACGGGCCCTTCTTGTGTAACTTCGACACGAACCGCATACAATTCACTGCCTCCAGCAGCTCATCTTTTGATGCGTGCGTATTCGTTTCCGCGGGAACGTTTTCACCTAGCTGTTGCGTAGTGCAGTGAACAATTTTATTATGCGTTAGAACCGTTAGGAACGGACGTATTATTTCCCTCCACTATTCAGGCATTTAGGCATCAAATCACAATATACTGGCATGTACTTTTGGCTAGACACGGGGTTTGGATTGATAGTTGGAATTATTGAACACTTATAACTAGTAATTACAAATAGTTATAGCAATGTCACTCATTTACACACTCTGTAATTCACTGTACCTTCAGCACACGCATAGTCTTCTGTTTGTTATTCTGTGGCCACTAGCCGTTGCTGAGTAATGACTGGCAACAGTGGAGGTTCGTAACGACCAACCAAGAATTTCCAGTGCTTATTTGTAACTCATGACTGAAGTGAACTGCTGTATGATCGGGTAAATTGCTGCTGGTCTTTGCCAGCACAGTCGTTCCTCTTTCCGAGTTTCGCGAGACTCATGACCGTATTTTACTGTCTCATCAATCTCGGGGTCATGTAAATCTCCTCCTATTGTTATGCACGTATCCGTTGCAGCGGAAACGTGTTTATCGAGCCCTTGCCTAGCGACGGCTTTCTTTATTGGCTCCACTATTCCGGCTCTCCTTCGTCATGTCATAACACTAAGCTGCGAAACGCCTTTAAATAAGTTAAGAAACAAAATTGGTACCAAATCTCCCGCCCAATTTGAGAAAGATATATTAATTTTTCGTATACAATACTAAGCCTTAATTCGGACTCTTTTTTAAGTATGAGGTAAACAGGAAGACGCGCACACTTGAGATCTCAGCTACTTTTGATTTTATTTCTTCTGCGGCATCACGCAAGAAGCAAGAATGTAATAAATATTTAAAGTTTATTTTTTCATGGGTTCATATTTGTGTGACTTTGTTAAGGAACAAACAGCTCTGAACACACACAACTACAGTAAGTGACACAATAAAAATGAACATTGAAACGGATGTTAAAACAATAGGATGAAAATATACAACGAAGCAAATTAACAACAACAATATGCTTAAGGATACTAAGGACAAAGTGTACAGTGCAGTGGTCTCCCCAAATAAGTTTTGCCTGATGATGGCCCATATGTGGCCGAAACATGTAGCAATGACATCAAATGTACATAGTTAATGACATTTGAAACATTTAACGAACACTTTTTAGTGAATTAAATATATTGTGACAGGTGAACCCACTGCATAGAGAAGTCTCACTTCCTAGGTAACGCACTGTCAAGACATTGCGCTGACAACCAGCATCTATTGCTAGTCAACAGCTAGCAATTCCTAGGCAACGAATAGAGGCTCTAACGAATATTCTGGCTAACACGGGAAACGGAACCCTTCGACAATGTGTTCTCTCAGCGGTACGCGAAGAGCTACTTAAAAAGGTAGATTGCGACAGAGCAGTTCAGATCCGACGAGAGATAAGAGAAGAACCAACAGCGAAGACACGCCACCGAGAATAGCGGTGTAAGAGTATGACCGTGGTATAGGAAACGGGAGAGACGACGGAATAATCAGGTCGCTTCCTCTGAAAACGAGTAATTCTCCAATAAACAGCGTCGTCTAAAGCCGCAACCCATTAACTACTTGTCACGAAACCCCTGACACATGACAATATTTTATTGTCTTTTAGAAAGAATTCGCTTTTGTTGCATTACAGACGGGATACTATACAATTAAAATTATGTGATGTAAAGAATTTATTTTATGTGTTATATTTGCAGTAATATTTAGAGTGTTATAATTTCTTGTAGTTAAGACTTGTGAGTATCCAGTAAATTCAGTCGCCAAATCTAGAACACAAAATTATTCGTCACGCTAAACCCTTATGCGTGACAACATAATTAATTTCCCTGTTTGATTAAATAAACCTTGTTATATTTCTTTTAAACAAGGCTATTTTCAGGGTGTGTATCATATTAAAGGGAAACTTTACAATTCATATATGTAAGAAATAAATATTTTATAATGTCTGAGACATAATTTTTTTTATAAAAGACTAAAACTAGTATTATGTTAAAATCCATATACATAAGCCGTAGCCATTGTAATTCAGTTGATTATGATGTGTCATGCTATGTTGTTTGTCGCTGTCTCATACTCATTTATGTATCGAAAAGATGGAGCTGTGTTGTTTCGATGTGGTTCTTTCTAGGTGAATTATTGATCTGTTGAGTATAGAACATTTTTCTTTCTTATATAAGACTTACGTTTCCCTTTAATTTGGCACACTCCCTGAAGATGCTCTTGTATGACCGAAACATGTTAGGGTTTTAATGATATGTACTCATCGCTAGGAAGTAAACTAGACTTACATAAATGGTAATTACTTCTTGTTCAAACGAAGTGATAGGGGAGGCTTCATGTAGCCCATTCTACCACTTTCAATTATTATAATTTTCGCTATAAATTGAGGTTGAAGTCATCTTCCCCTGCTTCTCACACTGTGTGGTGTGCCTCATGCTTTGCTAACTCCTTGCTGCTCATCTTCCCGCATTCTCACGATAGAATTTTGCTCCGAACTTCAGTAGCATTCAGACCTTAAACCCAGACAATGCGACTCCTCCGCTGGATGACAAAACTTGAATTGTTACCGCTTGCTACTTTCTCCTTTCGCCCTTCCCTCACCTTCTCACCATCTCCGTGTGAAGGCATTGAGGGAATGTTCAGCATACAATCAGTTTCAGAACTTAATTGAAGGTCGCACTAAACCGGTAATTGTGAAAGATTGGCTTGATAAAGTGAATAGCTAACTTCACAACCCTGGAACCCAATAACAGTCTAAGGAAACAAATGCCGTTCCCTATCTCAAGCTTAATGTTTTGGTAGGAACTCTTGTTTCTCCCCATCGTGTCCGTTTGACTAAGTGAGAGTAACCACCGTACATTTTGTTCTACGAGGACTGGAAGTGCTATGTTAGTTACGAAATTCCTCATTAAATGATCTCTCTCCTTTATTGTCTTCATATTTTTGCACCAGATATTTTCCTCTGAGATTTTCTATGTAGAGCTGAACGCTCATGTCTTGAGGCAAGTGTTCACAACCATATAAACCGAATGGCAAATCTACTGTTTTGTGGGTATATATCTCCTAGTATCACCACCTATCTTCTTCTCACCGCGGCGGTCCGGGTTCGACCCCGGGTCTTGTCAAGTGGCATTTGTGGTGGACAAAGTGGCGCTGGGGCAGGTTTTCTCCGAGTAGTTCGGTTTCCCCTGTCAATCTTCATTCCACCAATTGCTCCACAATCACCCTCACCTATCACATGGGGCTGGTACAATAGGCCAGAAGTGGCCGCAGTACAAAGGACTTCCACCTATCTTGCTCAAAGGTAGCCTACAATCCTCGTCTCCAGCGTTGTTGGTTATTAATGACAATATCAAAGACACGCGGTAGCGTACTTGGTCGAGGCACAATGCTACAAACGAGGTGATTGGATTTTTCAATTGACCTAATACTTCCAGCCGCACTATGGCTCTGTGGTCGACTCAGTCTCTAACAGAAATGAGTACCAATAATCTTCCAGGGGGTAAAGGGTGGCCGGCCGGCGCGTAAGGTTGACAACATCATCGCCATCTATGAGCCAACTGTCTACAAAATGTGGTGGTCTCGACGTCTCACAACCCGAAGGACACATGTTCTACATGGTGCGTTCGAGAAAGATTAGTTAGTCTAATCGATTTTTTACCTCTTAATTTTCCTTCTTTACGGCGATGAGCTCGAGTTCACGTTATCAGTTATTTCACGTAGTGCAAAAAATTCTTAGATAATTCCTTCAGACAAATCTTGAACATTATTGATTATTTGTACCTTAATGCGACATACCATGATCTTTCGTGACTGTGTTTAAGGGGTTCCATTGATAGTTTCATATATCAAAGGTTTTATAGATGTCCAATACACGCGTTGCAGGTTGAAGGGTAGGCACGTGTTTCCTATGTTTGA